GGGGGGGGGGGAAAGGAAGGGAGGGGAAGGGAGGAAAACAGCCGTTTTTAAGCCCGGCGGCTGGCAAATTCGTTTTATAGCCCGACGGCTGTATGAGCAGTGAATTCAGGGTAGAGAAAGATCAATGAGGAAAAGTCAATGAAAGGAAGATGATTCAGTGGCTCAATTTCCGGTATGTAAACAGCGCCTCCTTGCGGAGGGTCACACCCAGCACCCATGTGGGACGGCTGAGCGGCTCACACTTCGACATTGGTTTTCAGTTAACTCAATTGCCAGGAAAAAGTGGTGATGGAACGGCACGGTGAAAGATCCAATGAGTTGAAGGTGTTTCAACAAATTGTTTACTCGCAACTGCAGTGACAAGCAATGAAACGCGCGGCTGCTGAAAGTGGTTGAGAGAAAGGTTTGGGGGTGGGTAGCATGAAGGACCATGAAGCAAACCGATCAATTAGACAGCGTGATCAACAGTTGCGTCGCAGGTACAGGAAACTGGCCAAGTCTCCCTTCCCACTCTTATCCACAGCTTCGTTACGTGTGATAGGATAAGAGTGTCACACGCCCCTGCGATATCACGTGATTGCACAAAAGAAAACCTTCGAAGCAGGGCTTGACACACACACACAAACACTCCATCAGTTTTTATCACACATGAATCGAGCATTTTCTGAGTATCAAAGTTTGAAAAGAGAAGCTGCTATCTGGATTTTGGAAATCAGAACAATGAGCTCTCAGCAAAGAGACGCTCAGTTCTCATGTATGTTGCGGCGCATGGCTCGTGAGCACAATATGTTGCATTTCTGAAAGGATATCTTGACATGTCATGTCTCAAAACCAAGCGCCCAGCATACCCTCAAGCATAGAGCTATGTGCGTGAGAAGTGAGTAAGTGAGGAAAGGAGGGAGTGAGTGAATACTTCCAATTTATGCTACAAGCCATCCCTTTTCTGCTGCCATAAGCAACTTCCCGCACTACATTTGTTCATTTGTACTACAGAGTCACCATTTTTGATCCCGAAGCTGCCAAAAGCTACGCTACAATCTCGCCAGTTCCCAAAGCGGAGTTGCCTGAGTAGTACATTTGTACTGCTAACTTGCCTGTTCTGAGCACGGTGCTTTCAGAACCTACTTTGGCCATTCTATAATGTATTTGCACTACCTTTGTTCTACAAAATCACCCGATCGTTGGGATCTCGCTGAAACCTTAACCCGATTTCATCCGCCACCAGGACCGTAGCCATTGTCTCGCGCACCCTGCCAGGGCACGCGTCGCTGGTTCACAGTACCGTTCTGCGCCCTGACGACCTTATATATATATTATATATAGTTCCTTTTTTTGTTCACACAACCACGCAGGCGCTCACTGCAACGTTTCGTGACTCGGATGATTCTCTTTGAATGTTCCTTGACCATATATAGGGATCCATAATGATAGCAGCCGCTGGAAGCATTCGGCATTGTAAAAAGGCGCTTTCCGAGTGATGTTGACCTCTAGTTCAACTTGACCCATGTTTTAGTCGGTGTTCGTTGATTTGTAGATCCAAACGGATCCTTTCATAGTCGGTGTTCGTTGATTTGTAGATCCAAACGGATCCTTTCATCTAGAATGACTTTGGTCATGGAATGTCAAAGTCAAAGTTATTGAAAAACTTTGTACTGTATACCAAAGGCATCCCTATGCCTTGTGAAGAGACTTTTCCCATTTTCTTTGGCTTGTGATCATTGCGTGTCATTGTCATTGTTGTTTGTACCAAGTCTCAATGCAGAGCTCAACCACCACCTTTTGCTCTCCAGCGGCGGCGCAGTGCAGATTGGTGTCTTCGACTGGTTGACACCACCAGAAGAGATCCTAAGGCAGAGCCTTCAAAATCCATTGGCGCTCCTGAGAGAGAGAGAGAGCGCGCGAGAGAGAGAGCGCGCGCGAGAGAGAGAGAGAGAGAGTGAGGCTAAAAGAGACGGCCTCCAACCTACTTACCATGGCATCCAACCTAGAAGCGATGTTCTCCAACCTAGAAGCAATGGCCTCCAACTAAATAGAGAGCGAGAGAGAGTGAGAGAGAGATGAAAACATATTGAAGGTAGCTGAACGCGGTAAATGTTCGGACGCCGCCTGATACAAACTGTTGCTTCTCCTCTCAGCAAGGCTCGTTTAGGACTCGCCGTTTAGGACGGATAACCCGACCTTGATAAGATGTATGTCAAGTTCTCTTGGGCGCAGTAGCTAAAAGACACATTATGATTTTAAGTCAATTGTTCCTTGCAGAATGTGCAACTTATATATTAATATATTTATTGGCCTTCGGCCAGGTCCGCCAAACGGTGGTTGGTGTATATCTTGGTGTGGCGTAAAGGGTGGCTGGTATAAACAGTGGTTGGTGTAAACGGTGGCTTGGTGTAAACGGTGGTAAGCGGTGGTTTGGTATTTGGTGTAAACCGTGGTTTGGTGTAAACCGTGGTTGGTGTAAACCGTGGTTGGGTGTACATGGTGGTTGGTGCAAACCGTAGGCAAAATGCTGTGAAAGCCACGGCCAAACGCTGTGAAACGCAGGCAAAGCACAGGCGACGCGCGCGCAGAACGACGACGACGACGACGACTAACGCAATGCGCAGCGACGAAAACAACAACGTGCAAAGTGGGAGGGTGGTGGGGGGGGTGAAGTCAGCGAAACGAAAAATCCGCGCTAAGGAAGATTCTAAGCACAAGATGAAAAGTTGCACAAACAATCTTAACAAGCAACCTTCCAAAAGACACGCTTCACCTCTGCACGTGGCAGAGGGTCGGCGGATTCCTGGCATGCTATAGAAAGCGATGGCAACTCACTTCCGTTAAATGTTGGTTGACCGGTGCCACTAGTAGCATGTTATATGCTCTTTCCGCGGACTGGTTGTGACAACCCATCTTTGGAGTCAGCCTGGGAAGACCCAATAGACCTGTATAATCACTGCTCAGTGAAACTTCAATACTGTGAGCAGCGAACAACCTTGATAAGTAGTCTGCTGTTTGGCAATTCCCTGGGTCGTAGTCTCATTTTGATGTGACCGTTCCCGTTGTTTGCATGACTGTCTATCTTTTGGGTTCCAGTAATGCCAAGTTTGCCTGTTAATTGAAATCTGTTTGGAACCTTGTTTTTTGTTGGCACTACAAGAGGCTTTCGTAGAAGCATAGACTAGCATGAAGCTGAGACCTGCAAGTAACAGTGGGGTTTGTCACCAAAACAACATGAGATTGCTCCGGGGTTTGATGATGGGACTGCTAAGGCAAATTAATGTTTTTTAGTTTTGATTGGATTTCGGGCCTTTTGGCCGGTGTTCCGGACTTTTTGTCCAGTGAGTGGGAAGAGTCGTCGGTTGTACTTAAAACATCGACCACAGGTCACTCTAAATACAACCCTTTTTGGAATGTGTTTTTCTTGTTGATTAATTTGGAGTGCCAGTTGCACGTGACTGCCAAGCTTGATGCATCGTGTTCTGTGATGCAAAGCAATCCGAGAGGGGGGATCTCTGTTACTTGCAGACAATCTCAGATATCCAAAGACTGATTGACAGGAATGCGGCCGCGGCCTTTGATTTTTAACTTTTCGCTGGCAGGCAAACCTTCGACTTGGTGACACTTGACAAGCTTACCTTGAGACTGCGGCCAAGGTTTGATATGTGGATAGCTCCAGACCGTATTTAAGTCAAGTGTTGCTCGTAGAAGTGATGTCGCAAAGATATAGGCTGCGTATGATATAGGTTGAATCTTTTATTTAAATGCTCATTGTACTTAGACATCATCCAAGTATCCTCCTACGCTTCGACTAAACATGTAGGATTGGCGCTGAGACGTCGGGGATTCAAGGATTGGTGCTGACTTGGTGTACTCTTTCGCGGCTGTTGAGCCCTTCATCATAGCTGTAACTGCGCTCCTGCAGGTGGGCCGTGATGGGACAAGCATGCAGAAACGCACGTTTTCGAAAATCCACTTCTTCTCAGTTGAAGAAGAAGACGTTGAAGAAGAACCCATGGTCGCAGTTGGTCCGCACATGTCCCCAAGGAACCCATGGTGTTCAAAAGGGCGATAGGAAGCTACTAGTAACAAGTGCCTTACTAGTAGTAACAAAAAGAACTTAATTAGAATTGCAATTACTAGCAAAGGAATCTACTTAGGACTGCTTCACTGCTGTTTTGACAGGAGAAAGATGGCAAGAGAGTTGCCTCCCGAATGATTTATGCTCACTTCCCCAGATTCCCCAAGCTTGATGCTCCTTGGATGCGCTCGTGATAGACACTCACAATGAATGGACACTCACAACCATATTGTGTTTGACGTCCAGATAAAGCCCTTTAAAGACATGTGTTTACTTGTGATTATGTGTGTTTTTCTGCTCCACCGTCACCGTTGGACCCAAAGTCCATGTTCCTGCAGGCTAACACGGCTCAGTAAACTACAGTTAAAGGGATCATTTGCACCTTCTTTGGTCACTGGAGAGGAAAGGCTAGTAGGAAGACTGGTGCGGTTAATGATTGACGCCGGTCTTTTTCTTGGAGGATGAAATGTAGACTGATTATCATTATCATGGATTTCTACTCCAGGCAGCCAGGCATTGGTCCAGCTTAGCCAAGGACGAGATGTGTCAAGCGCTAGCACGCCAAGGTTTTTTAGCTAAGGCTGGGGACGTTGAACAGTAACATGTGAAGCTCAAATGCTTTGCCACAGAAGTGCAGCGGGTTTATCAGAGTGAACAGTTTGCAGTGGAGACTTATCCAAGGGAGCAGAACTGAATGGAGCAGAGGTACAAATCGTACTGAAACATGGAATGGACTAATGAGGGCGAATGGCTGTGTGTGTGTGCGGGTTGTGGTGGGTTTGCTGGCGAAGTGGCTGTGCTTGGCGGAGGTACTCGTAGTGTGTTCAGCGTGACTTTTCAGGAAAAATGTGCAAGGAGATTTCAAGAATTCCGAGAGAAAGAAGAGTGCAAATTGAGAGATGTTTGTTCCAAAGATTTTGGCACTAAAACATGAAAACAGCAAATTTAACCTAAGACGTCTAATTTTCCGTCCGCCGCCTCCTCTTCCGCGACATTCCGCCCACCGACCTTTGAGAATGCGACTGGCTTCTGCAAGACTTTGTTCGGAGAAAGTCGGAGAAAGTCTCATTGACACAGCTCAGTTTGGAAAGGGTTGATGCAGCAGGTGATGCCTGGAAATCCCCATGAACTTGGAAAGATTGGAAGGATCCCCCAAGGGACCCTTGATCGAGTGCAGCTGCTGGAGATCAGGCAGGACCCGAAATGGTTTGTATCTTTTACACGTCATGTCTCTACGAGGGACACCTGGACATCCAAGACTTCGGATTTTGGATGCTTAGAAGTCTTGCACTGGGTCACTGAGCCTAGGAAAACCTGCTAGAGATGGCCTCCAACCTAAGACTATGCAAACAAGCAGCTCTTGCTATATACTTTATAACAGGCGCATGAAGGAACTGAGGTGAAGCACAATTCGTCCTTTGGTCAGGCCGTTTCAACATGGGGAAGAGCGCAGGCGTGTCTTGAATGCTGATTAATTATATATAGGGCCCAGTCAAAAGGTTTGTCAACAGCTTTCAATGAAGCAATGATTCAAGGATGACAAGCGTCAGGGACAGGTGAACCATGTCACTAAATCTCTACTGTATCATTCATAATTTTGGGTACATTCCATCAAATGGTGTTTTTGTGTTCATCACTTGGCCAAGCATTTCATCACATCACTTGGCCAAGCTTGGGTGTTTTTGTGTTCACCATCTTCGAAGGCCCCTAGTGCTTGGCCAAGTGAGGGAGAGCTGCGGCTGCGACAGCCAGCTGTGCTTGGGCCAGACAGCTTATGCAACGAACAGAGGTGTGGAAGTGTAAACAGCTAGCCGTTTGGTGCCGGGCTGTGAACGCTAGCGTGAGTATGTTTCAGACGATGTTTCCTCAGAAATGATATACACATAATATCAAATAATGGTTAATGTCTTGATATGTCTTGTATTGCACTGCTTGATTTGATCCTTTTTTTCGCACGACTTCTTCCATATTCCATATTGCAGCTCAGGTGTGACCGAGTCTTCACAGGTACTGAAGGACACAATGAAGGACACATGGCAGGTGAGTCAGGATACTCTTGACATCACTGATCATCACTGCCTTGTCGTGACATTTCAAAGGCTGCTTAGGAGTTGGCTCCAGACTCTGACTGATGAAGGTTGGTTGTAGGATGTACGATGCCCTTGGCTTTCTCGGCAGCCAGATCGCCAGTAAATTCAGCACCAGAAAAATGGACACAGACAATGTGTCGATGGTGTTGCTAGGAGAAGTCGGGGTGTCGGGTGCGTAGGAGCTTCCGAACCAACTCATCATTCGTAGCATACTCTGATACTCAGAATGCTGCTGAAATGGACTAAAATCGGCTCAGCTGGCGCCCTGGTGTTTGCTGCTTGATTCCTTGGTTACTGGGCGAACAACCAATCGGTGACCGCAAGCGAAACACCTTGGAATATTGCAGAAGGGAGAAATTGCGCCCTCATATCATCTCATATCTCCATTTCAACATACAAACACTTGGCAAATATAGAAACTAGAATCGATTTAAATATCTTGAAACAATATCCGGAGGATGAAGGATTATGTACACATTGTGCGTGTAGAATAATATCAAATGAATGGGAATTCACCGTATATATATCGATAATGAAGATTATTATGTCCAGGCGAAAGGCAGACAATTTACCACGAAGACAATAAATTGATTTAAAGAAAAAAATATCTATATTAATAATATATAAATTGTTGAATTATTGTAATAGAAAAAAATGTATTTATATTTATGTTATATAAATATATTTTTTGATATATTTAAACATAATTTATAAGCGTTATTTGTAGATTAAGAAAGGGAGTGTCGGGCGCGTTAGGCGTTTTTTTTTAATTGTTATTTTTTTATTCTTGTTTATAATTGGTTTGTAAATTTGATTTTAAATTTAGGCGATATGGATTTGAAAGATTTAAATTTATTCGATTAACTATTTTATTGCGGAAATGTATAAGGCATGGATTATGGGTATTGATGGATTTAGGTTACATTTACAAAAATGTTGTTTATGATATAATTTATTTAAAAGATTATATATATATATTTGTATATTAAATTAATTGAGGAAGATTGATTAACAAATAGAAATAAATTTGTATATTTTTTTTGTATTATATTGATTATTTAGAATAAAGATTATATTAAAAATTTATTATTTATAAGATTTTTATTTCGAATTTATATATATAATTAATTGAAAATTTGTGAATTTTTTAATGAAATATATTTTATTTATTAAATAATAATATTTACAATTATTGATATAATATATGTTAATTTGATTTCGTTATGATGGGTATTGGAATAATTTTCGATAGATATAGATATAAATTGGTCTATTTTTGTATAATAATTTAGGATGATTTTAATATATTTTTAACTTATATTTCCCACCTAAGGTAAATAAAACGCCTTATTTAATTGGTACAAAAAATTTAATTTAACTATTATATATTGTCGAAATAGATATTTAATTATATTTTTTACGGAATATATATCTCCAAAATAATATTTATTTTAATATGATTTATTAAATATGCATTAAAAATAACCCTAATTAAATATTTAAAAAATCATTTAAAATAAATATTAATTTTTATTTTTTAATTATTAATTTTTATTTTAAAAAAATATTATTATAAATCTAAATAATTTTTAATCCAAAAACCAAATCCGAAAAAAAAATCTATTAAATCTAAAAGAAATACAAAAAACAACATATTATTTAATTATTTTATAAATATTATTTATATATAATAATTAGAAAATATAATCTAAATCGTCCGGATTAATTCGAATTAAATAAATTAAAATAAAAAGAACAAAAAAATAACCATTAACACACAAATATATCGAATATAATTTCCTTTTATTACCCTAATTAAAAGAAAGGAAACGGAAATAAAGATTTATTTTCTGTAGGCCAAACAATATATAATCTATAAGTCCGTTCAATTAATTCATAGATAAAATAAAACAAATAAATCCCAATCAATTTAGATTTTATAATATCTTACGAAAAGATTATATTAAATATCCAATAGGAAAATATAACGATCTATATTTAATTAATTAAATATTTATGAATCTTTTAATAAAATATATTTAAATTAATAAATAATAAAATATAATATTGGACGTCGTAAATATTTAGTAAATATAATTTATATATAATATAATAACTAGAAAATATAATTTAAAATTTAAATCGTCCGGATTAAATAAATTAATATAAAAATAACAAAAAAATAGCCACCAATACACAAATATATCGAATATTATTTCCTTCTATTACCCTAATTAAAAGAAAAGAAATAGAAATGGAAATCTATTCTTCGTAAGCCAAGCGACATATAATCCATAAGTCCGTTCAATTAATTTATAGATAAAATAGAGCAAATAAATCATAATCAATTTAGAATATATAATATCTTACGAACGGATTATATTATGTGTTTAATAAAAAAATATAATAATCCATATTTAATTAATTAAATATTTATAAATCTTTTAATAAAATATATTTAATTTATTAAATAATAAAATATACAATTATTAATATAATATATGCTAATTTTTAATTTCGTTATAATGGGTATTATATGTCGTAAGTATATATTAATAATTTTAGACCATATAATTCGTAAAATGTTTTTTTTTTCCGAAATACGATAGATATAGATATAATTTTATTAATATTTAGTCGTATAAAAGCCAATTACTACTTATACGCGCCTCGGCGCGTAAGGGAGTAAAAGGCTTTAGCAGGAAAAATACCTATTTAAAATAATTTTAACCTATATTCCCCACCTAAAGCAAATAAAACGACCTACCTAATTAGTATAAAAAAAATCAATTTAACCACTATATATTTTACCATATTTATTACGGAATATATATCTCCAAATCAATTTTTATCCTAATGCAATTTATTAAATATACATTAAACATAATCATAATTAAATATTTAAAAAATCACCAAATAAAAATACAAAATATTTCTTAAATATTAATCCCTTTTAAAATCCTTACAAATCCAAATAACCTCTAATACAAAAACCAAATCCGAAAAAAAACACCTATTAAACCTTAAAAAAATACAAAAAAAACATATTATATATATATATTCATATATATAAAAATTAAATTATTAATAAATATTATTTACATATAATAACTAAAAAATATAAATTAACATTTAAATTATTCAAATTAAATAAATTTATATAAAAAATCAAAAAAATAACCACCAATACACAAATATATCGAATATCATTTCCTTCTATTATCCTAATTAAAAGAAAAAGAATGGAAATATCAATTTATTATCCATAAACCAAGCGGCATATAATCCATCAATTTATTCAATTAATTCATAAATAAAAAACAAATACATCATAACCAATTTAAATTTTATAATATTTTACGAAAAGATTATATTGTGTATCCAATAAAAAAATATAATAATGCATATTTAATCCCAGGATTTGCAATTTTATAGGGTTTTTAGTTTCCATAGTCCACAACAAAATAGATATGGGAGCGGAAAGGCACAAAGTCGGCTTAACTAACAAATAATAATGTTGACGCTTTAGCATTTTACTAAATCTTAGTAGATAAAAAGGAGAAGGTTAAAAAGAATAGCATGAGAACTACCATGAGAAGCAAACCAAAAGGAGAAACATCTTGTGCAACAGTTCAGCAGGTACGTTTGCAGCCCTCCCCAGTGGCCTCTTCGTTGGCCATCCGCCACTAGGGAGGGGGATGGCCCCCTGCTTTGCAAAAACCAAGAGTTCTTAGAAACAGTGTGACACACACACACACAGAGCGCACACAACATTCCTATCGCTTGTATGTTTGAAACTTCCTCCCACAGCGCCTCAGACAGGATTTCAGCATATTTATATATATATTGTCAATTATTTTAAGTAATTCGGACGGTTCAAGCGGAATCGATGGATAAGTTCAGGCACAGCGAAGGTTTGGCCTGTAATCAACGAGGACGCCATCTCGCCGATAGCGGGAGCAAATTTGAAGCCTTCTCCTGCAAAGCCAGCCACCTCAGGACAAAGATAATGAACATCTTCATTTCGAAAAACCTCAAACATGGATGATATCATCGGTGAATTACCACTCAAGCACAAAATGGATGTTGATGCCCTGGTAACTGATCAAAAATGCTCAAACGATCTAACTAGTCCAGTCAACAGCAAGTGGTCGGGCCAATCACTGCTGATCTCTGATTGTGGCAAAGGTGCTACAACCACGTCGGGGTCGTCTGGGTGAAAGCCAACAACAAAATCCTGTCAAGCAAAGCAATCATTTCACCTGTGAACTCTGCACAAGCAAAATCAACCACTTCACAGTCCAAAGGACCGAGGATTGTGGTCCTCAAAGCCAACACACATCTGGCAACCTTTGGTTGTGGTCCTCATCTGCATATAGATGTTGGTCATATGGACAACGCATGGTGAGCTCAGATCGATGAACTTGCAATGATGGCAAAATGCGCTTGCAGTAGGCGTCAGTTTCAGAGCGCAAATAAGAATCTTCGTCTTCAGGCCACCTGCTTGACACTGCTCAGGCCAGCTTCGGAGAGTGGACGTGCTCGATAAGATTCGATCAGTAAAGGACTTGGGCAACGTCAGTTTGTAAATGTTCATTTTGAATCATTTTGATACCTTTCAGCCCATTTGACAGTGGAATCAGTGGAACCTGCGCTTCCACCGGTTTCACTCCAACAAGAGCTGTGGACCTCCTTAAAGGACAAGCTGGAGTGCTAAATCATTATACAAATGATCGTTTGACTTCATTGGACTCTGTCTCTCGCGTCCATTCGGAAGTGGAGGTAGGCTACCCGCGATTTCTCCCTCGGAATGTGGCCCGGGGCGAACGGGGCTCGTGGCTGGGTGCAGCGAACGTGGCTCCTGCCTCCTGCACCAAAGGTCTCGGCCCCTCGTCTGCGCGGAACGAAAGTGCCGCTCCACCGCTGCTGCAGATCCAGGTAGAACCGGGAAGTCCTGGCGCATCACAATATAGGTGAAGCTATGGATGGCCTGCATTGACCCAGAATTGGAAAACATATGGAAAACCAAACGACACAGAATCAGAGATGTTCAACATCATTACTTTTTTAAACCAGAAAATCACCTGAATCCCCTTCAGACCTCGTGCTCCAGTACAGGGCCTTGTCGATGCATTCCAAATTTGACACCCTCAACCTTGGAGCATCTTACTTTGCAAAAGCAAACCGGCAAGCACATGGAAAGCAAACTCCCACTTGTCCATCTTTTCCTTTGGATGTTTTCCTTCATAAACCCTAAATCTTGATGAAAGACAAGGTGTCTGTTTTGCAGAACACGTTAAGCGTTATTGTCGGAATGCAGCCCGCATCAGCCCGCAGCATTGCGGCAAACATCGCAGTGCGAGCAAGGGATTGTCGGCCATGTCAGGAGCACATCGAGCGCTCAACGACAGCTGCTTCCTGCTTCCTTCCGTTAATGATTTGTTGGTGTTGCAACTTGAAGCCCGCTTGCCGGATTTGCAGTGAGTCTCTGAGCTTTCTTCGCAAAAACGCTGCTTTGTGAGGGCCTGGCTTCCTTTGTATTTGTGCCTGCTATTGTCTTTTAGGATCTTTTAGGATTTTAGGATTGATGATGGTTTGTCTGGATTCATGACACGTCATGTCTAGTCAGTCGACTCGACACGTCCCAAAGCGGAGGGAGTCCGAAGCTCCGAACCCAGGAAGATTCCCAAACAGCCCGTGAGTCACGATGCACCACCAGGAATTGATTTGAGAGTCATGTTCAAACAAGTGCTTACGAGAGTCATTTTTCTACAAAAAAGCTTCAGAAACAGATCACAACAGCTGGTTCAATGCTTTTGCGGCCGAGTTGCTCCGTTGGGCATGTGTGGGATCATGTAGCCTCCAAATTTCTTCATCCCATTTGGGGGTGGCATGTGTTCTTTTACCACTGGCATTGCGCTGATGCCATAAAGCGGCTCCCGACCTCCAAGCGGCCGCCAAGGCCCGGGAAACCATGTTTGTGGATTTTATTCAATTGAAACAACTCCTGCATGGTTGGGTCGAAAAAAAGCTACATGCAACAGTACACAAGAGTCCCAAACCTAAACTTGGGAGTAAAACAAACCACCACCGCCAACGGCGAGGCAGAAGGCCCACCTTTTGATGGAGCATAGTATGTGTTTTGCTCGATGGTAGCTACCAAGGGCAACAAGGACAGATTCATCTTTTGCAAGAGACCGTTGGTCCAAATGCCAGCCTTAGATTTGGAAATCAAAGAACCTTCCATAGATGTACTTGAAATGTGATTGTCTGGTTTGCATGATTCCTCACATGAAGGATGTCAGAAACGTCCCTTTGCTTTGAGCCGTGCTGGGAACCAAGAAAGTGTCAAAAATCTGTCTTGTCCTCACTCCAAAGGAGCACAGCCAGCGCTTAATTAGTCTGTTGCCCGAGATTTGTGATTCTATCTTGGCTGAGCCCCAAATTACCGCCGGCGCCACATTGTTTCCTGAAGTTGCCTCCCCACTTTGCTTAGAGCAACGCTTGAGCATACAGATCTCGGAATGGACATCCACATTTAGCTCAACAGTCCACATGGACGTCGACGTCTAGAAGTTCCAGTCCACAGACCGTGCCATGCAGGTCAATCACTGGTCGCGCAATGCACATTGAGAACACTGGACAGGACACAACAATGAAGTTATGGAAAGCCTGGTCACAGCTAAGACCAGTTTCGAATAGGAGATGACGGTGCCATCCTCTGTGGTCACCGTCTTCTTTTGCCGGTCAATACTCACAACCGACTCGTCGATGTAAGCAGCGGGCCCAGCAAGAGTGTGAATCTGATCCTGTCACTCATATGACCCGCGACTGTTGAAATCAACAGGTGGGAGAGGACTCTTCTCGATCAATTCAGCAGCTTGCAATCTTCGACTCAACAAATAAAACACGACGTGAAAACACATCCAACGACGTGGGCAAAAACAAAAAAACACATCCAACGACGTGCCTTCAGAGTCTCCATCACTACTCCCAGAGCCACTGCATCGCCCTCGGGGCAATAGACGGATGCCTTCGAGACAAATGAGACGGATACAATCCGATACACGCGAGACGAAAGGGGAGAGGATGACTAAAGTCCCACAAAACCGGAGACATCCATGTGCCCTGTGGCTGTCTCGGGGGGCAGAAACTCAGTGGCTGTCAGAAGCACAGAAGGCGCTTCTGAACAGCGATGTGTGTGCATAGGAAATGAAGTGCTGTTCAAGGATGTTGGGGAGTCGACTGAGTCGACCCCAAAGGTGGTTTCGAATCTTGTTTCGCACTGGTCGGGTTCCGCCACATGTATATACCCTACGCGCCCAAACCCTATTAGTTTGTAGGGTTTCAATCGAAACCTCGGGTATTTTGGTGCAATCAACAATACCCTGGGATGGTTCTTAAAGCCTTGGGTCTTGTTTTTCTAACCCATCCTAAACCCATACTTAACCCGTATTAAACCCATATGTAACCCGCATTTTAGTACTGGTTTGGAAAACGTCAGGTTTCCTTCACAAACCCTAGGTTTTTCCATCGACCCTACAAATCTATAGGGTTTGGGCATGAAGTGTATGATATTATACTATTGTCATCTATTTCTCACTGATCTATCATATGACTGCTGCACGGAGTCGATCTATCCTTATGGCTTGCGCCTGCACATAGTCGGTTGTTAGCTGTAGCACTGGCCAGCGCTGCTCCACCTGGATAGGGTCAAAGACTGGAGATCACTGGATGCAAGACCCGCGTGCGGGATCCCAAACCCGCCTGCTTGTGGTTCAATCGTTCATATGGTTGCCCCAAATCTTCATATGTCTTGGCCAAATTGTCCAACAAGTCCTTACGACAGCTCACGTCCAGACAACCTGTCTTGTACCTTGGCCGAGGCTTGCAGACATGTATGCTGGCTGCGGAAAGAACCGTTTACAGTTTCAAAGTGAACTTCTGAAAGGCAAGTTGAAAAAGAGTTCACTTGATGGGCAAGCTGTTGTCTGCTCTCAAGACCGGTCACATGATGGGCTGCGATGCCTTTTGGCTGAGAGTGCCATAAAGCTCGTAGGAACGGCGGGCAAGCCGCACCATGACAGGATCGGCATAGCTCAATCGCGCGATTCGGGACTCTCCCCAACTGCCCTTCTCTGCATGACCACCGTCCAAAAGCACCACCTGAAACAACCCAAGGCCAAGGATAACGTCAAAAGCCGTTTCAATTCAAAGGCAAAGTTAAACGTTCTTGTCGAGTGATAAAGTCATGTCGGAAGCATGAACAATATCCCAAAAGCATCCAAACGTGTCCTTTGTTATTTGAATAGCCTTTTGATAGTGTCAATTGATCGGCACTAGGAAAAATCACACTTCGTGTCGTGTCCCATTGATAAGTGTCTAGACTAGTGTCAAGTGACTAGTGTCAATTGATCGGCATGTTTATAGTGTATTTGAATCTGAATGTGTAGAGGATGGACCAAGGTTGGACCAAGTGACATGGTTTCCACTGCGGCAGAGGCTCCAGGCCGTGGAGCGTCCCATGACGCCGCCACCCAGCACCACCACAGGCTTCGCTTCACAGGTGGTCTTCCTGTTCGAACAGTAGCTGCTATAGCTAGAAAGCTAGAAGCTACTAGTCACAAGTAACAAGGTAACAAGGGCATCGCTACTAGTATATAGCTCCTGGAATTACTAGTAACAAGAAGCTACGAACGTAGCAAGGTGCCTTTTGGACCAATGTTAAATCTAACAACGAGACTGCAAGGCTCGGGTTTCGCATGGTTGCGCATTTCAGGGGACGGCATAAGCCACATGGCTCTTTGGAACGTTGATTTCCTAAAGATTGAAGTGCTCCGGCCTCAGATGTCTTCTTTCGACATTGAAAGCCAGGCCCCCGAGTGCCAAAGGCAATAAAGGGAAAGCTGAGCCAACCATGGCACAGGCAGGTCAGAAAGCTCGGGAACGTCAATGTAAACATGTAATTCTCCACGTCTTCCTTGTCGGTGAATCCTTCTAGGCTTGCATATTCTGTTCATTGCTTCTGCTCAAAAAGACTTCAAACTAGATTCCACTCGTGTTGCCATCCTGTAGATTCAGTCGGATTGATGCATGTCACTTTCGGCACATACTTAAAGACTCCAGACTCCAAGCAAAGCTTCAGGCTGCATATGATGGGGAGTAAGGCATCACGTGTATGTATATATAACTATATATATATTTAGACAAAGGCATGCCTGCTTGTAAACTCATAGGCCAAACCAGAAACGTGAGAAACTCCGCCAATGCGGCCATCGGCCATTGACTTGAAACTGGCAACATGTCCGGCATCTTGAACAAGAGTGCTTTGGCCAAGGCGGCCCTCTCTCCCAGCTATGCATTCAACGCAAATGATTTCTCGCCTTCGGCGAAGTACTATGTACTGTTACACACGGTTCCCAAGTTTGAGTCTAGGTCAAAAGCTAAATCAAATGAACTTCGGCCTGACCCGTTGAGGAGACACTGAGACACGAAGTACCCAGACCCGTTGAGTTGATGTTCATTAACATGGGATGCAGGTGCTGTTCTCCAGACCGTCGTCGGGATGGTTTTCTGGACGAAGGAGTCCTGTTGGTCCAAGAAGCCCTGAAATGCCCTGAATCATCCTGAATCCCATTTTTTGGCAGATTGACAAGCTTTGGTCAAATCGCCGAGACATAAAGACACCTTCACTCTTGATCTCGCTGCGCCAGCAGTTTAGCACCTGAGAAGACTGAATTGTTCAATGTTTCTTCAAGCTGTTTCCAACTTGAATGGAATACACTACCTTCATCTGCCTCCCTAAGGAGCAACCTGCCTACAAATCCCAAAGTGGCTTACATCTGCCCCCCCAAATCCATCATCGAACCGCTGCAACTGGCCCATCTCCGAGAAGCAGTCCCCTGCACGCCAAACACGAGGTCGGCGTGCTGGTGGCGTCGCCTCCGGTGGACCACGACGGGACAACGACGCGCACGGGACAACGAGGGTCCGTGAAGAGAACAACGCGCGAGATCCACGGAAGAATGTTCGTTCCCTTCAAATCCTCGTGGCACCAGGCTGAGTCTGTAGTTCCGTATTCTCACCGGCACTCTGAGCAAAATATCTGCACCCATTCGCAGCCAGACTAGAAATTAGATGTCTCGGCTATGTATTCAGTGCTTGTCAGAAATTAGATGTGCTAGAGTGTCTGGGAAAAGGGTAGACCAGCCCACAGGCGAGCTTGCTCGCGGTCAACAATGTCAAAATACGCCACTGACCACTGAGCTTCAATGTCCGCTTGAGTCGAGCCATATAAACAAGGTGCATCGCTGCTAGTAGCAAGGACGCTACTAGTAGCTCCTGGCATTACTAGTCGTAACAATAGGCTATATTGGACATACTATCTACTTCCTCCCTTTAGGACTCTTGAAAGGACTCGTAGGTACCTTTCGAAAGAGTTTCTTGCATGATTCTGTTGGCATCTTGTGGCCTCACATCCCTAAAGTATCACAAACATCAAACATTTCGGAATGTCCTCCTAGAACGCTTCGGAATTTCGAAGACAACTAATTAGTTGCATGTTTCTTCTTGAGTTGCAGCAATCAGGGCTCCACTTCCACAATTCCCACGAAGGGAGGTGAGGGCCTACAAAAGAGAAACCTCTAAGAAACGAGCAACTTCTCCCTGAAAGTATCCTTGATTGCGAAGGCTTCTGACGCACAAGGCTCTTGGAAAAGGAAAGAAAACGTCCTTGGATTGAAGGGAGTCATGTAGTGGTTTCTGGCTGGCAGATTTGCACAGTTTTATGCACCATTGAATTGAATGTAGCAGGATTCTCCTCTTTCCCTTTAGTGGTCCCTCACGTTTCTTTACATGCTTACAGTCTGTCCCTTTGCTGCATGCAATTAACACCCCCTTTCTTGTGGAACAAAGTCTTGTATCTCTACCACCCCAAAAGCAAAGCACCCATACCAAGACAAGGTAATTATATACCACCTTCAAGCCTTTTTGACATTGCTGGAACAGTTGGGATTAGACTTTCTCATTGAAAAAACACAGGGATTCCTGTGTGCGTTCGTGAGAGACTATCTTGCGCTCTTACACATGCCAAATCACGCTCCAACAAACAGCTGCCGCAGCAAACGTCTCTGTGGCCTCAAGCAGGGTCTCTGTGGTCTCTGGGACAACGGGCGTTGGTGCGATGGCGATAGGCACACCTTCCATCACTTGGCTTCGCAATGGAAAACCCAAAGAGCGTTCCGAAAGAACCAAAGGACCAAAACGAGTGCCTGAGTAGTAGTTAGGTTGATGGGGGCTCCCATGGGGAGGGACCACGTTGGGGTCACCCTGGAATATTAAACCATTTATTCTGGGGTAGGGGTACATACCCAACAATCAATATTCCAGGGTAGTGGGGTAGAGTAGGAAAATTTCAGCTGTCGTGTCGAGTGTAAATTCGGATGTTGGAAGTTGTTGTTGGAAGTTGTTGAAGAGATGTTGGAAGTTTTTGGAAAATGTTGAAAGTGATTGTTGGAAGTTGTTGAAAACACCTTCCTTTCCACCATGTGGTCTCAATACTAATTATTCCTGGGTGCCTGCCACCTCCAGGTACCCAGGAATAATTAACTCACAGTCGATGCGAGTGATGTGGACTTGGAAAGTGTGAGTATTATACTTGAGCCTTGCACTCAAAGCAGTTTGATCTATGCACTCCTGACAGGATGTGTTACCTGTATACATGAAACCCTTGTGAGGTGGAGGTCAAGGCCTTTTCTTCATGTATACATAATTGAAGTGTGATTGATTGAGCCAGTATCTCTCATGGATACACACACACACACACATCTCAGGCACAACGCAGCTCATGGCCAGTCTTTGTATAAATTATTCCATGGTAACTGGCACATCTCTGGCACAATTATTTCATGGTCGCTGGTACATCTCATGTTCAAATTGTTCCTTAGTGTCGAGGTTAGTTATGATTATTAATCTGAGGTGACCCCCACCCCCCTGGCACAGGGACCCCAAGCAAATTACTCCTGATGAGCATTCGAGAAAATTATTCCAAAAAAATATTCCTGGCTGTCACATGCACCCCTGAATAGTAATTCAGGAGAGCCCACATTTAGGTTGTGTTGGTACATTGCGTGCATCGCGTGTGACGGTGCACTCAACTCCAATTAAACAGTTGCTAGCTATATAGGTCTACCAAGCACAGCCTGAACAAGGACATCTCGGAGTCTGTGCAAATGCTGGCAAATTCTTGTTTCACATCGCGTGCAGTGAGCAAGACTGGAATGCAAGGACTCCAACATCCCCAACCTTCGCGTTCATGTGAGGACCGCCCAATGCCAGATCCATCTCCTTGAAGACCGCAGTTAGCAGTAACTGAAGCATATGACAGAGCCTTCTATTTGAACAGGATTGAGATGCATTGAACATTCGTGCAATTGATGTGCACAGGGATCATTCCGTGGAACCTCCACACCTCCGTGGGTTTGTTTGACCAAGTGGTAGTTGTGATGTTCTCACTGAGTGTGAGGTTTGAACGCCATATCTTCTAGCCTCAAAAAGAACTGTGCATCTTCCAGTGGTCCTTGGTCTCCTTGGCCAGAACACAAAATTAGGCCTCTGCTGGTGAGACTGCACCGCTGTCAAAGAATGTCTGCTGTCCGTGAAAGCGAACAAGCTTAAGTTCTGTGTTCCAACTGCAGGATGTTAGCTTTAGCTTTGGAAACAACAGGTGCTGCAAGCTGCGATGGACTCAGGAGCGCAAAGCTCCAGGAAGAGCAACAGCGAGGCACCCTGCTCAGAAAGCAACAGCTGGCTGCAAGAGCATTGAGCATGACACCAAGGAACAAGAGGAAAGACTGAGACGCAGCCGGCTAATAAACACGTCCGCAAAAATTGAGCTTCGGCCAACATATCAGCTAACGGATCACACATCCGCTGACGGAGCAATAACAAGGTGGGATTCTCCCAACAACATCAGAAGCTGCCAAACATCCCAAAAAACCGTTGCTATAAGCAGCCTGGTTGCTGCAGCGCACTGCTTCTTGATGGAGATCGAACGCATGGCCTGAGTGTTGCGTGTTTTTTTTCCAAACAACTCGTGTGATCTGAATGACCAACATACGGTTGGCCTCTTTGTTTGTGGGTTTACTGGGAGGGGTTGAAACGAATTGCACAAAGAAAAAACTGTACCTGGATCGATCGAAAGAAAGGGCACAACATCTTTAGACCGCGGTGAACCGCGATGTGTTTCCTTTTTCATGTCAAACGCAGTGATCCAAAAAGAACGCCCTTCCAAAGGTTGCACGGTTCCATGTGCTCGAAATCCATGGAACGGGGGGTCCCACCTCGCAGGTCTTCGGCCCTCAGTCCAACAGTGAAGTTTCAGTGGCGGGCTCAGCACAGATCGGCAATCCTAAACCGCCCAGGCACTATCTTGAAAGATTCTCTCTAGGATCCCTTTGTCACGATCGTCGTCAAATAGTTGCACCTTAGGCATTCGAAAGCAGTGGACAATATGGGCAATGGGCTGT